TCACCACTCTGCATCTGGTACAAGAGCCTTGACGGCTAAATTGACTATTCAGACGTAGACTGATGAATACTTAAACAATACACCACTCTTTCTAGTTAACCCACGCGGAATGTTGGGAGAACATCACAGAAGCCGCCAAGCACAGCACTTGTATTAGCAACGCAGCAACCGAGGAGACATTTATTTCCAATTGAAGTGACTTGGAGTCCTCAAAATGTCCCAAATAACAACTGTGCCGAAGACCCTTTCTCGTATTGCTAGACATAGGTCCAATGTTCTTATATTTTTCCATATTGCACCTCTGAACTCCCAGTTGTTTATTTATAACAGACCAGTCAGAGCTTAGACTCTCAGCTCTAGGTGTTAAGCATTGTTTTGACCACCAAAAATGGAGGAAAGACACGAATTGCTATATAAAATGGCGTGGTGTCCTGAAGAAGTCTCAATCATCATTTTGATCGAAGACCGTGTCTTGTAATTCTGAACGTGTGTCAGTAGTCGATGCGTTTTTATAATTTTAACTTTGAACTCCCACCATCATAGACGAAAATTAGCAGGTGCGTGCCTTGACGATAAAGTCAATCCTTGCTATTAACGTTTTGATATTCAAGGGAAATTACATAATATGACTACTTCTCTACAAAGATCTTTGTACGTATGCGTTGTTTATTTAAAAACTGGAAGCATCTTTCTTAACAACTGAGGACTCTCCTATTCGAAAGGTGACAAAGATTACTGCTGAAACTATTCCAATATGAATAGATTCGCGGGCTGTATTTAAATTTTATATACTTAGCATACAGTGAAATAAAAAATAACGACGTTCTTGACAACGTCAAGAACGTGAAAGGATTATCAAGGGTATCTGGTCCGAAATCTTTGCAATTTTTTTGAAAGGAAAAGTATAAGCCAGGATTTGATTGAGTCAAAATCTGCTAAATTAAAAATCTGAATTAATTTTGAAACGAAGACGGTGGACGTAAGCTTTGAAAATTGGGGAATATCGCCTAGTTTCAGCTGGGGATACTCGGTCGCGTGCTGCGTTTGGGCCAGTTGAGCGCCAGCATAGATATTTGAAGGATCATTAATACAGACATATTTCAATAAGAACTATGTAACCACAGCACGAGATTGGAGAGTGCCATAAGCTGTGGGTCACTCTAAGTTACTTAGAGACATTACTACCGGCCACCTTTCTTGGATGGTGGTAAAGAAAGGTTCTACTCAACCGTATTTCCCAGGGTAAATAACATGCACCAATGTCTTAAGGCCTGCCTAGTTAGGTTTAACATCAGCTGGATAAGGTGAACTAATGAATATGCTGTTCCAGTTTTTCAAACCTTGTCGCCTCAATAAGCAATAGATGACTTGGAATGCATACAAAAAAGGGGCGTTTTCCATCGTTCTCGCCGCCTTATCTTCTAAGCAAACGTTTCTGGCAACGCCTGACCTATAGAGCTATGCCTATCCCGGTCGCATGGTATCTTAGAGAAACAGTCCCCATTATTTAGTACCCTCCTTCCACTGTTCTTCCCAACATAACTTTAGCCATGCAATAACTTTTTTGATGTCAAGCATTGGGAACCAGGAATAATTTTATTTCGCATTAATGCGTCTGAGTAAACTCTTGTTACAGACAACCGTCAATTTTTTCTCCTTTTAAAAGCATTTTATTCGGATCCTACATAATCCTCTTTTGCCTAATCGTAGTGTCTTGTTTTATGTTTTTTTTTTTTTCCTGTCTATGGATAACAGTATAACCTTTTCAAAGCTTGTTAGAGTCTTGCACTGTATAATAATGTCTACAAGTCTATCCTAGAATGTACGTAATCTAGCATCTGGATGGGATTTTTTTATAAGTAAGGTATCTAGCTTTCACATGTTTAGCTAATTAAACTATGTTGAATTGCCGAGTGGTTAGTTGTTGTATTGACTCAGACTTAATCCTTTAACTTACTTCAGCTTAAGACTGCGATAGACTGGATCGCTTAATTACTCTGATAAATAAACGTCACCAGCCTCTACCTCCCCATGAAAGACTTATTTTCTTTTTTCGTAATTTACAAAAGCAATCCAACCAAGTAGAAGGACAATGGAAACTGATCAGTTGCGACTAAAGAATTATCGTGGCCTAAAAAATCACAGTACACAACAATCGGCTTTTACCAACCACCTATTGAACCACTACTTAATGATATTCCTATTTCAACTCATATTCACTGAACGGGAGCAATTTAGTGGTCCACACTGCACCACCATCAGTTGGATTTATCTTTTTGGAGATGGGAAAACAGCATTCGTTCGAGCTTTCATTCGAGCTCTAATCTGAACAATCGTCTCTGTTTCAATTTTGCCCTCCAATCGCTCCTCAATTGGTTAATAAACATAAGGTTTACATGAATCAGTAGCTGAGTGCTAAAATCCGCTTATTCAAGTGGACCGCATTCCGCCATGATTTCCACAATGTTACGGCATTTATTTTTTTAAGTTTTGATCTTACCTCGCTATTTCTCATACGTATACGATGCAAGATGAAAATCAGGACACCCTACAATACAAATATAATTATGGATAAGTCGTTTTTTTTAAAACCACAATATCAGGATAAGTAAAGAGATCTTTGCGGAACAGAGCAGTTATTAACTCAGCAGAACATAATTTATAAGTTTATGAAGGGAGAAAAGCAGATGGTCAAGGGATTGACTGGCTGATGAAATTATTCATTGGCTAAACGGCAAAATGGCTAACAAAATTATAAAAAAAACTGAAGGAATGACTGATAGGTGGGTAGGAGGAAGGACTGACTAAAGACTGACGGGATTATTTCGTTTGTTAAGAGGGTTCAAGTCTCTAACTTTTATGAGCAAAGCTGAGGTAAATTTACAACAAACCTGAGTAGAGTTGAGAATGGTAAAGATGTAGGCGATAGCCTTGTGTAGTGGTGACAGAAGACCAAACAACCAAGTGATGCCAAGAAGGGGAATCATCAGAACACATGTTCTGATGCCAAGTCTAAAAGAGGACAAATGATAGCTAATTCCAGTTTTCAGATGACTTTAGCTCTCATCGTTATAACCAAACAGAAAATCATGTAAATGGTGCCCTCTTAACCCTCGGACGTACAGGCTCAAACTTACCCCAACTTTGTTACGAGAAGGTGGGGGGGACCGTGAAGCCTTACTTTACGCTATATCGAAAAGTTTTTAACTGACATATATAGCCTGTCAGGTCGTCTACAAGATGATGTTGAAATTATGGGATACATATGCAAGTGCCGCTGCCGGAGCGGGGAAAGGGTAGTGACCGCATTTAACATGGTGCATATTTCTCACTTTTCCACTTTAATTTTTGGCTTGCCCATCATTATCAAACTAGGCAAGAGAATAGAAAATAAGACTCGATCAGAAAATTAATAGGGAGTTTACTATACTCTCCTTCTTCAACTTTAATCCTCCTATAGCTAATATCAACCCTTAAACCACACCTCACTTGTCATTTAATATTTCGCAT